TGTTTTTTATTTGATTTTTTTTTTATTCCAAAAATCGATTAGTTTTTCACAAGACCATAATCTCATTTCTATCTATCCGCTATTATATATACGTATATAGGAATTCTATAACACATGTTTACTCGTCTGTTTCCATAAAGATAGAACTTAATAATATGGATGCGTGCCTATGCGATATTTTTTATATTAATTTGGATAAACTAGCTATATAAGCATTATTATTCAAAATACGGTACATTTAACACGTATGAAATGAAGAAAAAATATAAACAGCTATATGTTGTCATATTTATATTATTGAATAGGTATATACAACACTGGCTATAGGTAAACGATTTTTAAATTTGATTATTTGCAGTTAACCTGCCCGTTTTTAGTTGCCAGTAATGTTTTATAAGTCTCTAGTATACACCTATAATGGGTACCTGCCTAAATAGATAATATAGGTACGGTTTAAACGACCATTTTTTGCTCTCTCAAGATTTGGTGATCTCTTAAAGTATAAATGTGATTGAACAAACAATAACAATATTATTACTGACACAATAAAGGACAAGACACACCCTCGACATGATTATATTGCCTATTCAACACTCCTTAAAAAAAGTCACATTAGATGTATAATAGATAATTACTTTTGAACCAACAAAATGTACCGTCTGTAAAATACACCCAACAAATAAACAATGATCGTAAATCGTCAAAACCAATTAGACATGTTTTTAAAATCCAGAAAGGTCAACCAACCATATAATTATATTTTTTATAGTTGGCTTTTCAAATATTCGGTAATATAACGTCACCGTGAAAAATGTAGCATTGGACCGAATAGTCTATGTCTCAGAAATAAATACTATATACTATAAGTCTAGAACACTTATTAACGGCATTGCAAGACACTGAGACCTATCTATACCGATCAGTGTTCACCTTAATATAATATATTGATTATTGAACAGCGCAATTCTAAATTCGTATACAATCTCTCAAAATAGTCCTTTCATGAATACAACTACCTATATATTATTATTACACTAATTGGCAATCGCATGCACTACTATTACTGATTAAAAAAATATCTTACGTTCCTGACATACGGTTTACCTTGGTTATATTATAATATACATGTAGTAGTTCAAGAAACCAGAATTAATACATTTTAAAATTATTTTAATTTCGTTGGGTATTGAAATTCTATACATAAGTAAAAAATACTAACTAAAGCAGGTAAAACTACATTTATATATATATATTTTATACACGTTTATATATTTCGAGATACTTCATCAACGGATAAGATAATATTTACTATATATATATTTTTTTTTTGATTAAACTTCGATAGGTTGTTGTGATAATAATTGTAATGTCAGATGGGACAACGAACATTATAAAACAACCAATATTCAACAGACCATAGTTTATAGTCTGAAAGCGAATAAACTATATTATACACTATCAGACTATCTAAAACATATTATCATGGCTAGTGCCTCACTGCTTCTATAGTTTTTCTTTTTGTGTTCTAATAACATATACTGCGTGAGTATAATATATACATTATACATTATACATATATCCATTATATAAGAAACGAGAATAGGATTTTGAACAATGATATAGCCTAGAGTAATATTTTTTTCGCCTACTGTGTATTATTTCGTCGTATATACGCTTTATGCAGTTGATATATATATTATTTTCGTAGAACTAAAATATTGAATGGTCCACGTCTTTTGGCGAACATTTCAGGTTTTCACATCTTGACAATGTCTGAATGAGAAGTAATTATTGCGCGTTTGTTGTCAAACGCTCTATAGGTAGAGTTGCAATAGTGTTTCTTACAATTTTACGGTCAAATCGTAATTGGTCGAAGATGGTAGAGAATAAAACTACTAGGTAGGTATAGTTACTGACCGACGGCGACCGCGCAATTCGTGCCACGCACTGCCACCGTTGAACGAACCCTGCACAGGAAGTTGTAACTTAATTTTCTAAACCTTTATCGTGATAATAGTCATTGTAAAGCATCTCAATCATGACGTGAAGTACCTCTATAATAGTAATATATTATTATTATTATTATTATATATACAAGTGCTGCGGACAAATCTCTACACACATTACACAATATACTATAAAATATCAATACATGAAGTGTGAAGTACATAGTGCATGTTTCATGTATATACCTGATGTTTATTACGTATTATGTGTGTACCGGGCATGTACAACGTAGGTACACGAATTATGTACCCATCGTAGATATTAAATGATATTGAAGACGACTGGTATATGGATCCATAGGCTTGCGCATATTCTAAATGCGGGTAGTTCCCATATAGGTAATATTATCATTGGCTCCCTAGTCAACAACTTTTTAAACACAACACATCTAAATTTTATTTTTTGAACATTTTTTCCGTTGTCACATTATAAGTGACGTTTTGAAGCCTAGCTACATATGTACACAATATTAAACTATGGAGTTCACATAGTGAATAATGCTATTCAATCCTTTTTAAATTCACTTTAAGATTGCATTTGGTAATTTAGGTATATTTATGAAAAATACGAGGGTAATATATTACCTTTTATTTGTATTCGGTCTGTGGAAAATCACAGTAAATGCACGCCTATATGTATGGGTCTCGTAATAAAATTGCTTGTGTAAAAAATTTAAAAAAATTACTTCTTCTCCCAATGAAGCCATAGTAGAAGTTGAATTATTGAAAACGGATGGTGTATCATGGATCTTACAGTATAATATTTCTTAATATGTAAAACCATTAAAAACAAATTAATTTTTCTCCCTCACCACACAAAATAGTGCTTACGTATTACAAAGATATTATCGTATTATTTTCTGTTGGCCAGGTGCCTGTGCAGTCTATATGGTCTATCTACACAGCAATATATTATAATGATGCCATACCCTACTCTTCGACAATGTTTATAGTAATAATAATAATAATAATAATAGTACATAACACATACCGTATGTATATAATATAATATAATCCCGTAGTATTATATTCATAGCTGCTTAGCTATATAGCGTATATGATGTCAGTCACGCGGAGGAATGCGTGTGCCCGAGATAGATTTAAGCAAGCTAGGCGTACCTCGCTGAGCAGTCCTTGTGAACAAGTTATACATTAATAATTATTATTATTATCATTCTAAGCGCTGCAACCTTGCCGGCTATCTTGTATTTTTAACGGTGACTATCGCGCCCGACTGCTTATACATATAGGTATGCATGATTGTGACTGCAGGTATTAACATTCTACTCTCGACCCTTAGGTATACACATAAAATAACATTTAACATTATACAACTATTATACAAGGATTGTAATAATACTTTATAATAATATATACGTTCAGGACAGTAGTAAAAGTCGTAGTGAGAGATAAACTCATTATATTCGTACCTACAGTGTACAATAATAATATTATGATTTACGATGTAACGAATATTATAAGACGCATAGGTATGGATTAGTGATCGCTGAAGTGTTTGCAATATTATAAAGAGTTTTAAAAATGTATTAAATACGGGTATTATGTTATTAAATAAACCACGATTGTTGGCATTTTAAAAATAAACAAAAAAATTCAAATTATATACATTGTCAGAAGTCCATCCTAAAGTGATGCCACCATTTATAATCAAAATGCATGTGTCTGATAGAAACATAACATTTAATTAGTAGTAATCTTCCCAGTAATAAAATAAAATACGACGATGGGGATGGGGGGGGGGGGAGGATGGTACGACACTGGTACCATGTGTCAAAAAGTGCCCCTAGGGGGCTAAAATACGCCTCTGTGGCAAATCATTGTCAGTTTTTAGTGGCCATTACTTTTCAGTGAATTAAAATTTCACCGTAGATTTGAATATTACTTATATTAATGAAATACCTATTAGTTATCGTTATCACGCTTGTTATCTTTTTTATATAAACTTAATTTATAACTCTTGTCTCCTACTCGAGCTTGCTTTTGGAGACGAATTATTTTATATTTAGTTTGGCAAGTATGATATCTTGTGAAATAATAATAATTTACTATTTATATATTATTATAGTACGGATGGGATGTATCGAAAATCGTATAATTATAATAGGCAGGCACATCACTTTAATACAATTAATTATTCTTCATAAATAAATAATTTACAGTAGTTATTACTGTTAATATAAATATTATATTAGTGTTAAATTAATAATAAGACTTATCATGAGACTACATTAAGTTGCTAAATCCTTGAATTCTCAAGTCTCCTACTTTTACTAATATATTAACTAATGACTTTTGTAATCAATACTTTTTGATGGTCACACCTTATATATTATTAATGGCCAATAGGTTAATTATTCATCATTATAATTTTATTTTAAATGTACATACTTCTTATGGAAATAATATTAAATATGTTATGACTTACGAGCTTTGAATAATAATATTAAATACTAAAATATTTGTGGTTTTTAATTTAGTTAAAATAATTATTTGTAATAAAAAGATTGACCAAAATACGTATTTGGTACAGACAATGTATTTTAAGTTCTAACCAAATAACATAACATTATGCTACTAATAATATAACTTAAACAGGTTTGGACTGATCTCATATTATAGAAGTTATAAGCTACAAGTTTACATTTATAGTAAGAATATTAAGTTAACAATAAGAGTCTTTCACAACACTATTATGGATTTATGTAAAGTTCATACAATTAAAAACTTTTATTGCGGAGAAGATATTGTAACATATAATAATATGTTGGATATGTTCTATGAAAGAGTTTTGGTGTTTCTTCTGTTACAAAAACTATATTTTGAAGGGATAAAATATAAAGCACTATAAAACTACAATCCATCTCGAGGATTTCAAACACTCTACAAAACATGCGTACAATATTTCACAATGCAATTTATTTTTACAATATTATTTTTTCACAATTTATTGACAGGTTTTTATTTCGTTTTTAGGTTTATGGGCTGTCGTAAATACCGCAGACGTATGTCTGAGGGGAAGAATCGAAATGCAAGAGAGCGCTCAATGGGAGACGTTATTTAAGACTAATGTTTTTGGAACACTTAAGGCGGCTAGAACATTTTATCCTTTACTAGTGAGCCAAAAAGGTAAGCAAATATAATTTAAACAACAATAATTGTAAATGTGGTGTATACAACGTATTTAAAAAAAAACTACATATATAAATAACTAAACACGTATATTTCAAAAAAAAAAAAATTATTCACAATTTTCTTATAATATTATAAATTATAATTGTATAAAACATATATTATAATAGTGTTTTAATATTGCTATGTTTTTTGCTGGGTACAACTTTTTATTTTTTCTCACTGATTTTTGTAATGGGGTTTTTTCATTGCCATAGATCACAAATCAACAAAAAAACAAAAACCAAAATATTCAATTAAATTCTAGTAGTCTAATTTTAATTTTCAAAAATAATTTGAATTCCATAGCTTTTTCTCAATGTCTTGTATGCAATAGATTTTCTGCATTTTGAATAGCTCATGTAGTATGATTACAAATTAATGTACTTAATTTTTCAAAAGTACATGCACTTTAAAAGGCCCACAAAACGAAAAAAATACACAAGTGTTTCCTAAAAACATAGAAAAGGTCAAAATCATTTTTCAAAACTGAAATTGGACTACTAAGTATATTTTTATTTTCACCAGCTTATTGCTCTAAATGCATGAAAAATACAATCAGTTAGATTAGTTAGAACCTCTAAATCCACTTCATTCTGAATGTACATACATTTAGATTCTAAAATATTTTTCATTAAATCACTCAGCAGTACATCATGGTTATTGTCTATAGGTACTCAAGTGTAGATTATTATAGTCAATACACATTTCAAATAGTGACATTTATTGAAAAAAACCAAAAAATTTAAAATGTCAGTAAACAGCCCAAAACTAGTCAAAATATTTTGAAAATTTTATCAAATATAGAAAATGATAAAATAAATATTTGCTATACCTGTAAAATATTTACTAACCTTAGAAATGAATTGTTGTTGAATTATAATAAAATAATAAAATCTTTCCATGTAAAATCGAGTGAATATCAAATGTTGTAAAAATTGGAGTTCAGATGAACCGGAATATAAATGAAATGCGATTTTCTACTATAATTGTTTTTATAAGAAGAGTTGGTAAACATAATAAGATAAATTTTGAATTTAATTTTAAAATCTTAGATATAAAAAGAAAATTGTCTATGAATTTCCAACGCGAAATAATTGAAAAATTTCCTTGATTTTAAAACATTTTGTTTAAGTTCTAACTTCAGACGCTCATAAAAAATTACTGTGGATTTACTCAATTTTTTTTATTTCCTCTGATAACAGTTTATGAGAACCTTGAAGTTCTTACTTTTTTAAGTTTATTCATCGAGCAAAATTTTTTACGATATTAATTTTAAAAAAACTGCCATTGTCTATACCCAAGTGTAGATTATTAAAGGCAATACACATTTCAAATATTTCACTCATACTTATAATTAAATCAAAATGTATTAAATCGTTATATTTTTCAGGTCGTTTTATTAACTTTGGTACATCAAACGGACATCCTCGCCGACCAGGGATGACTGCTTTCGACTCAGCGCGCCATGCCGTGGTCGGTGCTAGCACCTCTTTGAGAGAAGACCTGAAGGACTTGGGTGTTCACATAATAATCATCAACACAAATCACATTCTGCCAGAGCACATGTTCGAACCAGTGAGGTCTTCTGGCAAAGCAAACGAACAAACGCTCAATGAAATGTTTCTGAAAACGACTCTACCCGAGTATGCCATACACACACTAATGGACGCACTACTCGAGTCCAATCCTAAACCGGTGTACGGTTTTGAAAAACCGTCGATGTTCAGTTGCAATAGCTTTTCAAAAAAAATTCTTAAAGCCGAACGCTACGTTGGATATGAAAATATTTAGTTAAACGTCTTTGCCCGAGTTCCAAGATAGTGTAGGTGCAAATTCTAAAAGACAATGAAATTGGAACTAATCAAAGTTACAATATTATCTTATTTTATTATTATAACATTAAATATTCATTCAACATTATTCTAATGTGATCCAAAGAACATTATTAATATTGGTCAGTTTAGTTTTATATTTATATAATATGTTTTTAAATAGGTACTTGTACGAGTATGTTGTATTATTGTTGTAAAATATATAATGTTCAAACTAATTTTATTGAAAACTCCATCAATGTACCGTCAAACTCGTACATACATAATATTTTAGTAACTATTGTTGTTATGGAATAATGAGTACAATATTGTATAAAAATTGAAAAGAATTATACAAAAATATTTATTTTTATCAACTATACCTATGTGTTAATGACTATTTTTTAAAAATTAACCAGTGAATGAAATAATATACATTCTATCGTACAATATAGGAGTAATACATGACCATCTTATTAAGTCTACCATACGTCCATATAAGTTATAAAGCCATATATAACATATATATGTTGCTCCAAAAATTAAATATTAATTTCTCCCGTGGTTCAAATTATTTTAAAAAAATACAAAATACTATTTTTACCATTTAAAAAATGCTTTTTTTATAGTAAATTATAATCGTACAACATTTTTCAGAAAATTTAAAAAAATCAATACAACTTTCCTCATAAGATGTTGTAAGTGGAAAACAAATAAAAAGTTGAAAAGCATAGATCCAAATGAATTTTTTTATGAGCGTCTGAAGTTAAAATTCTTCAAAATCACGTAAATCGGCAAATCATTTTTGATTAGAAATTTATAAAAAAATGATCTATTTATATCTAACCTTTACAAATTTAATACAAGAATGCCCTTAAGTTCTCCGACATTTAAAAAAGTTAAAACCAAGAAAGAAAAAATTATTTTTTACGAGAGTTTGAAATTACACATTGAATATTCACCAATAGGTTAACAAATTCTCATACAACGGTTTTCTTATTTTGTTAAAAACTTTTAACTTGAAAATTACATAAAATGTTTATTTTATAATTTTCTATACATTATAAAATGTTTTAAATATTTCAACCTTTTAAAGTCATTTATAGACGTTTGAAATTTTCAATTTTTTTAGTTTTTTCTCTATAAATGGAAATAAAATTGTATTATTTGAGTCAAAAAGCTTGAAAATTTAATTAATTTGTTATAACAATAATAATTTTAAAAAAATTAATGCAAATTAAAAATTTCTCATGACTATAAATTGCTTAAAAAGATGCAAAATAGTTTGAAAATCACATACAAAAATGAAAATTTTTAATATTTTGAGAAAATTTAAATTACTTACTGTAATTGGTTTTCAATTTCTAAACATTGTTCAGATATCCTCGATTTGTCCATTCTTTAGTTACCAGTACATAAAGTTAAGATTTTTGATATAAATATAATATTATTTTGTGAAATTTTATTAATTTATTGTCTGCATTTACTGTACATTAGAATTAGAATTAGAATTTATTGCGTTATTGTATACAAATAGGTAGGGAATTTAGAATACTCGAAGGCATGTCAACTTGTTTTAGTTAAATTACCTACACGATTCACAGTCTTTACACTCTGACGGATACAGTCTGAACTACTCAAAAATGGAATTTCAAATTTTTAAATCTGTGTAGTAAAATTGTATATTTTTATGTGTACGTACACAAGTATACTTGTACTCCTAGTAAGTTAAATGACTATACCTATTTTTTATTAAAAATATGCCTGATAATATTTTATTATAAAACGAGTTAAGTTACACATTTTCTAACAAGTTAACTTAACTCAATTGAAAAATGTCGTTAACTTGCCCAGGCTTGGAAAAATCTATAAGCCATACAACCCGGATAATTGATCTTTTCTTTCGATCTTTGATTCTTTTTGTAAAAACTTAATATACTGTTTTATTATTTCACTTCTGATATTGTTTTACATAATATGTTCGCGCCGAGCTTATCCGTGATTATGAACACCCCCTGGTCGAGAGGTCAGTTGGAAAGTACGGCGTCCGGGCAACACTGCTGTGGTTGTCTTAACTCTCTCATCATTTTATTTTATTACGTCGATGTAAAGCTGTCTATTATTTTCTGGCTGCCGCCGTTCGTGTCGAAGTATGTCGAAACATGTGTTAAAACGCATTTTTGTATTTTGTCATTCCTCTTGTGTGCAACGAATAAAATAATATATCCACGGTCAGTTTTGGTACATTCGCACGTTCGTTTGGCGACCAGCTCTGGCTCCGACTACAACAATTCCGTTTGTCTTCACTAGTTCCGGTACGACATATATTGTCAGCGTAAGTTCCGGCCCAGTAGAAGACTTGGTCCGGATTCCCCTGACTCTTTACGGTACCGTCTCCATTTTTGTATTGATTTGTATAAAAGAAACTTGTTATTTGATATTTGTTAGTTTAACCAGTCTTAAATATTAGACTAATATGAAGGTTGTATAAAATTAAGAATACGTGTTGCTTATTTATTATTTCTACCCTCTCCTCACTATGACCAGGGCACGAGTCATCGCCGTCCACAATCCAAGCGAGGTAAGTCCGGTGTTGGCGAAACAACATACAAAAAGGCATTTAAGTTATTTAATGTTCAACTATTTTACCAATTACTTATTCTTGTACTGTTAGTTTAATGCAAAGAGGAAACCTGTATATTTGTAATGAATAAATAATTAAACGTATAATTGTTGACTGCATTAGTTGTCCTTAAAACAATAAAAAAAAATGTATATTTAAATATTATGTATTATTAATCAGTAGGACTTGGATTTTGTAACAATATAAATCCTTAAAAAAGCATTTAAAGTAGCCAAAAAAAGCAAAAAAGCATTTATTAAATTTAATTCTAAAAAAACAAATTTTAATTACACATACAATTAAATATTAAAAAAGGATTAACGACCATATTTTTAGTCAAGTTACTTTCATTATAACTCATCCTATTGGGTTCTAATAAATTTTTATACATAGAAAAAGACTTTTCCACATTAACCGATGTAATCGGTGAATATTTCAAATAAACTAAATCATTTAAATAATACTGTTCCACATAAATGTTTAGCGCAGTGCCATTATGAATACTAATGATTTTTTTAATTTCTTCAAATCCATTATTCTTTGAAAAGACACAATTGCACTTTTCTCAAATCAATTTCGCTCCTTCACGATTAGGTGCATTTACGGTCATTAAATTGTAGATAAAACTATACAATTTTGGTACAACAACGATAGTTATTTTATCAGTCATCCATTAATTACTGGGTTTTTCACTGGTTTTATAATTTCTCCCAATAATAATATAGTCCAAGTATTATATACATAGAAATAAGTTAAATTTTCAAGAAAAATATGTAAAAATTAAGAAAAAAAGAACCAAATAGAGTAAAAAGCAAAAACAGCGGGTAAGTGGATGTCGCTCTGCTGTAAAGAAGGTGTCTGAACGTCTCTGTATTGGATGGTATTACATTTGAATTCAATGATAAAATATTATTGTATACGAAAAACGATTCTGAGCGGAGATGGTATGTTAGTTTAGGATACTTTATATTGTGATTACTTATTATTAATATGGTAGCCGGTAAGTTGAATTTATATTATTCATAAAATTATTCTCAAATTATCAGCGATGCTCTAAAAATATTAAATATACTTATGGGCTATTTTGGAACCAAATTACAACATAATGATAAACGTTATTATTTGTGTTAATATGCAATCTTATCCAAAATTGAACTTTAAATGTTTGTAAAGAAGAACTATATTCATATATTTTTTAGATTTTTAGTTACGGAAAAAATTGTTTAAGTGGAACATTGTTTTAAATTTTCAATCTTTAGCTATAAAAATTGAACATTTTATACATTTTTAACTAAAAAATCATTTTCAATTTTCAATTTGATAAATATTTTCAACATTTGAACTTTAAATGCTTGTAAAATAAAATCGTGCCTATGTATTTTTAATATTTTTCAACATATTTAAGAACATTTGTAATTTTAATGTCTAATTTTTTTAGGCATATTAACTGCATATTTTTAAATGTACATTTTAATATTTTTTACTTTTTAGTGCATATAAGTATTTTTGACTATTGTACATTACCACGCCCTTAGTAATTTATAATAGGTACTAGCTAGCTAATATAGGCACAATATTTTCTTTGTCAAAGTTTTCTTGATATTAACTAGCTAAACTTAGGTGTATATAGACTTAAAATTGTTGACATTTTTATATTAGATTATATTGGCTACACGATTATACTAGGTAATATGATGTGCGTGAAGTTGCCCCCCCCCCCCCATGAACAATTTTTTTGAAAGCTATATTATTATTTTGGCAAATAATTTGCGAATATTTGCAAATTGGTTTTCAGAATCTGCAAATAAATTCCCTACCAAAAAAAATAAGACAGGGGGGAGGGCAACTTCACACAGCCCCCCTTTTGAGCTACGAACTTCAAATTGCTACCAATAATTTGCAAATAATTTGCAAACATTTGCAAATTGGTTTTCAGAATTTTGCAAATAAATTACCCACACGGTATGAAAAATATAAGATAGGGGAAAACTTTACGCTATACCCCCTTTATTGGAGCTATGAATTGAAAAATGCTGATAACATTTTGCAAATAGCCACTAACTTATTTATAATTTTGAGTCCAAAAATCATACCAACCATTGGTGTTTATAGGTACGTAGGTATAGTTTATAGTATAATTTAAAATTATGTAACGTATCACACAATTGAAATATACTACTTACCTAAGTTTTTTACATAATATATCGGGCTACTATTTAATGTAAAATTAATTGAGCATAAAAATAAAAATAATTGTTTCTTACCCTTATAGCCTTAATACATGGTGATATTATAATAAACGTAAATTAATAATTAATTTTTTTAAATTTACTCTATATTTGTAGGAACAGAACATAGGTTATTGAATATTATAAGCTCATGACCATCAAACAAGAGCTCACATTAATTAATAACAATTTTTATTTTATTTTGCTAATAAATAGATTATGTTTTTCAGATCTTTACTTTTTTTTCATTTTAAATTTACTTTAGTAATTTTTAATTATTAAGGTTAGAGATCGTGGTTTATAGTTCTCGTAATTTATTATAAAACGTCAAGTCGATACATCAAAAACATTGATTTCAATTGAAAAAAATAACATCTCTTATTACTGTAGTAGACTTTCGTATTATTTGCAAATTATTGGTAGCAATTTGAGGTTCGTAGCTCAAAAAAGGGGGCTGCGTGAAGTTGCCCCTCCCCCATCTTATTTTTTTTATACCATATGGGGAATTTATTTGCAAATTCTGAAAACCAATATGCAAATATTTGCAAATTATTTGCAAAATGATAACATAACTTTCAAAAAAATTGGTCATGTTGGGGGGCCAACTTCACGCACATGGTAATATGCTAATCTAAGAAATACACAGTATAGATTCAATTTTTTATTACCAAGAGAATCGTATTTATTTTAGAATGAATTGATACATAGTAGTATATATTTATGCAATTAAAACAAACTCGTATTATATATAATTTAATTTAATACAATATTATTAATCATTTGAAGTTTAGAATTTTGCAGAATAGTCATAACTATTTGTTTTATTATTAAACATGTTATAAAAAAAATATTTCTTTTCGCTTTGGTCATTAACATGTTCCACACAGAAATGGTCAATGGGTGTCTGGCCCTGAGGTTCTGCAAAATAAATTAGTATTAGATTTGATGAGTGTGTTCATAAATGTAACTCGATTTGTACACGTATGTAAAAATCATTTTTTAGCCCAAAAACCATGCAAAATTATATTCAACACAAATCACTGATTGAATCGTATTTATTTTAACTATGAAAATATTGGAATTTTCTATTATATACTAAAAAAATATTGTTTAAGACTTTTCAATTTTAATTAATCTTATCAGCACGAGAGTTTTTCCTGTAAAACATGTTTTTATATTTAAAAAAGCACGAGCTCTGGAGTTCTGAATCAAGGTGATATTTAAATAAAAGAATTGTTAGTCGTTTGTCGAACTTCAACAACCCAGAAGAGGTTGCAAGTGGTAAAAATAAGATCAAAAGATGGTTTGTTTATAATGAATTCGTGTCCAGAAGTTTTAAGTGAATACAACAGGCCCTGTGCTGGAAAGCGTTAATGCACACTAATTATACAAATTTTATATTTGTATTTATGTATTATAAAAAATTTATATTCTATTCATTGTTATACCTACCCAATAATATCTACCATGTGTTGAACGGTGGGACATATCTTATCTCTTTTTTAAATGCTAAATTGTTATCAATACCAAAAACATATTATTTACATAAGCGATATTAAATTTGAATACTTTAATCAATTTTTTTCTAAAAAAAGGTATCCTTACAGTACACGTATAAACATTTATCAGTTATCTGTGCTGGAAATAGTTAATGCACACTACTTATACATACCAGTGCTATAAAATGATTGGTATGCCGTTGCAAAACCTATAAAAATAAATTAAACTATTATGACATTTTCCTTTTATATATGGTATAATTCATCACATGATATTAGTAAGTCACTCTGTTAGTTAAGAAGTTAAATATTCAATAGATTCAAAAACCCGCTCTTCAGGCAAAAAAATTTAATTTAATTTCAATATTTATTTGAATTATTAGTAGGTAGTAGGTACACTACATGACTTATCATAATAATGTTGCTATACGACATACGTATTTTTTTTAGGAATCGCGTATCAATATAATTGTAATTAAAAAAAACTATAAAAAAAATTATTTTTTATATTCAACAACAAATAAAACATCATTATTTTTTTACTAACGTTGGCAGGTAAATTATTAACGAAGTTGATAAGTGCTAATTGTGGTGGATATAAATTTATAGTATTGCTACCCGTATGATTAATACAATATTAGAATGAATTTTGACGATATGATTGAATGCTCTCAATCTGATTTTGTGATCGACAGTTGGACCTGAAGAGAAATAAGAAAAGTATAAAGCCAGTCAAGGCAATAATAACTCAGTTAAGTTAACAATTTATTAACTTAGTTGAATATCTCTTTTTTCAATAAGTTAGAAATTAAATAGTTAATAACTTGAAAATGAAATCAACAAAAGAGTATTAGACTTATAAGTTATAACTACCCTCAGTGTATAGGAGACTATGGAGATTTTAAAAATAGAAAAGTTTAAATGCATATTTTGCATAGTAAGTTGTTACATATTTTGTCAACTTAAGGGAAAAGGGTCATATTTCTCGATTTTAATACGAATTACATATTATGTTAAGCAAATTTACAATGTTCTAATTTTTTTTTCAACCTAATGTAATGTGTCATGACAAATAAAATAGCGAATTTACTCTGTCATAAACTCTGTTAAATGCAAACTATGTATGGAAGAATAGTATTAGTATTAGTATTAGTATGCCTCAATTAAAAAATTAGCCTCGACTTTCACAGTCCTGGGTATAGGATTTCCAATGTATCAAAAATCAAAACTACGATTATGATAAAGTTGGATTGGATGTGGGTAAACATCATCACACACACACACACACACACACACACACACACACACACACACACACACACACACACACACACACTCATATAATGTGAATTTTCTTAATATTACGAATATGTAATAGGAAAAGTTCCAAAAAGTTTATTTCATATGGCTCGTTCCATGAAGTATATTATTCCTGAATTTCATATGAATGGACGAATAGGGTTAATTCACACTACCCATCGACACGAGTCTACGAAATTGTAGAATATAAATACAATTGCTTGTATTTCGTATTTTTAATACAAATCAAAATATTTGATAGTTCGATTAGTTTCTAGTTTGATTTTTATTTTATAGTGCATATTAGTTTTTAATACATTTTAGACGATCAAATCCATCACACTCTAAAGATTGTTAAACAAATATATTTGATGAATTCGTATAATAGAAAATGCAACTCAATAGTTTTAAAAACATTTTACACAAAATTAAATTAAGTATAAAATAAAAGTACGTACGCTTTGCTATTCTGTCTAAAAAAAAAAAAATAATGATAATAATAATAATAATAATAATAATATTTGTAATTAATGCGATATTTTGGATATAAATATAGGAATATTTTTAAAATGTTCTATTGTGTGAACCGATTCGAAATCGATCGAAATATATGTTGAAATATTGTAAGATGAAAATGTAAGTTGATCGATTTTCATAGCTTAAGAACCTTGCATAGTAAAAAAAAGTGGTTTAGTGGATGTCTCTCTGCTGTGCATTAGGTGTCCAGGAGGTCGCTGTAATGGATGGTATTAAATTTGAATTCAATGATATCATATCGTTGTATACGAAAAACGATTCTGAGCGGGGACGGTATGTTAGTGTAGGATATGATATATTGTTATTACTTATTAGTTATTATTAATACGGTAGCCGGTAAGTTGAATTTATATTATTCATAACATTATTCTCAAATTATCAGTGATGTCCTAAAAATATTAAATATAAGTACTTATGTAAAATTGGACCGTTTTGGAACCGAATTACTACAAAGTGACTAAAATCGTTAGGTTTAACGAATTTAGTTTTTTAGATAATAGTTTATTATTAGTTTATTAGTTAATTTATTCTTTGTGTTACATAAGTAATTTCGTCTAAATTTGAATTTAAAATAAATAACTATAAAAAAAACTGTGTTTATGTTGTTATTTAATTTTTTTGGATACAGAATTAGTTACTAACGTAGAACCTTGTTTTAATTTGTCAGTCCTTAGTTATAAAAGTTGGAAATTTAATACGTTTTTAACTACAAAATCATTTTCAAAGTCAAGAGAAATGTTATCAAAATTTGAACTTTAAATTATTATAAAACAAAAACGTGACTATGTATTTTTAATATTTTTCGACTGATATTGTAACAATATATCAGGAGCCATGTATTAAATGTTCACACTTTTTTACGCAATAAATACAACAACAGCTCATGAGGAACTTTGTATTATATTTTCAACTTTTTTGACCTTGCTAACATTTTTTATACTCATTAATCGAATATTTCACATGCTTGTAAATAGTTCAGCATGAGTAAATATATTTTGAAAACGTTATGATGTATAGAAAATGCTATTACGAATATTCAGTGAACATTTCATATGTATCTACGGTATTTTTTTTTAGAGTTACATAAAAACCTAAACGATTTTTTCAAAAAACTGGTTTTGCTAAAAAATTCCCGATTTTCCTTATTTTTTTGTTTGTTTTTACTGTCGCTTTTAAAAACTATTCTGAATTTTAAATTCTTCTCAAATACACCAACCAGATTCACTTTCCTACCAGAAAAGTTGCTGTTGAAAAAAATCGAATCACTTTTACTGTCCCTAACCGTGATGACAGACACAAGATTAAAAAAAAAAAAAAAGAAACTAAATAAATAAACACACATAATTTTCAAATCAATACATTCATCCCTCCGCTCAGAATCTAAAATAGAAGGGGAATTGGTTCATCTGGATAGTGATAGTATATAGTAATACCCAATAATAGGTCACTGCTTGTCAAATAAACGGATACGTAGTTATAATAATGGTACTCAGTGATTAAGAAAATATTTGAGATTGATCATGATCACATAGGTTATGAATTATGGGACACAAATATCATTGATTGAATTACAAAATTATTTAACATAAATAAATTAGGTATGCAACATGCACGTACTTCGGTCATCTAAAAGTAAAATAAAAAACATACTATTCAATAAATATTATAGTACTTTATCGTTCACAAACTGACAATTGTATGATAGGCATGACTTAATAAATTTTAAATATTTTCTCAAAGTATTTATATTTAAAATCAAATAGTCCATGTTTTTAGTTTGGATGATAAATATTTTATGTTTTAATAAATTGTAATCACGTACAATGAAAAATAAAAATCAACCTGAATTTCAAATATTTTTCGCCTCGTTTATTAATCATTATTATTAGAGAAAGTTTCCATTGTATAGAAAAATAGGCGAGTCTTATCATTGATTTGAATATATAAAAAGTAATTGTTGCATTTTTTGTAAGATGGATGAAACTTTAGTTATAAGTTGTTGTGTTCTTCTGTGAATTATTTATAAAGTTCTAACTCAAAAGAAAACCACACGTGTATATATATATATATATAGGTAGGTAATGTTGGTATAAGTAGGTAAATTATTGCGATCAAGACGTGCGATGAGGCAAATTACCCTGTGGTCCTCAGGTCTCCGCCGATCGATGACTCCACAACTGAGCCGCATACACGCGCTCCACTCCTTGTATACCTGTGGTAAGGGTAAAGGTATCCTCGGACACTCAACCACCATACCGTTATTTTAATGGCCCAGAGGGTATCGGTCAATAATTACACAAACATGAACCGTGCGCACGTAGATCCCTTTTGTCACCTGTTCTTGCTAGTAAAAAACCGTTTGAGATTGGTAGACAGAGCGACGGCCGATCACTTCATTTTTTCCGCTTTATGGGACGATGGATAGGTAGTAACCTCTGTTTTCACTGGTGCGCCTTGTTGGGAATTTTTTTCGTGAATATAATATGTTAATTTTCACCGTGGCATGTATTCATGTTTAGATTTAATAACTATCCATATAATTTCACCCGCTGGTAACAGTCTCATTGGAGCTGTGCGGTGTGTAGTGTGTATAATATATTTCGTCTCGGGGTGATGTCCACTTCGACACGAATATATTATGTTTTTGTTATTTTGTTATTGTGATATCAGCCACGGGGTATCGTAAATCCTGTCTTCCCGTGATTTTGAATTCTATATACATGCTCTTTGTTTATTTTTCCTCTGATCCAGTTTTAAGCTCAAATCGGCTTTATCAGCAATAAAGGGTAGAGAAATGTCATGTGTAGCCTTTGTAATTGGCAGGGTAATTTCCATTACTTAAAACAAAAGTGACAGGAGTAACTTATTGTATGTTGAGGTGTAGTTATCTTCATCACATTTTACGCAGCATGGGGTGCAGGAGCAATATTTATTGGTGTGGCCTTACGATCAGGAGCTTAGAACTTATGGGATTTTTCGGTATTTGTGCTGTTCCTCAATCTGAACTCTTGTTCGAAAAAAGCGGTGAGACATTAAAAATGTGTTTGATGTTATGTACTGGTTCTCAAGCTCAGCAAAAAACAAGGTAAAGGTCAGAATTGTTTTAAGCAAGTATCTGTACAATCATCTTTTTTATTCCTTGTTATCGATAATTAAGGGAGAGGGAGGAACTGCTGTTGGCAAGGAGGAAACTATCATAATTAAGATTTACGTTGAAAAACATTTAAAACACACCATTGTAAATTCGATTTGCAAGCTACTAGCTGCTTATTATTATTTATTATAACAGTTTGGTCGTTATCTAACATTTAAATACAAAGTTGGACTTGTTTTTGAATAGCCTATTGGTAGGGTGAGTTAAACTTAAGCCGAAAACATATATAAAAGCTGATATTGGTTTTGTTAAAAGACAATGTGGAAAGAAAAAAAATTAACAGCTATTGTATAACAAACACGCAATACGTATTATCTTAATATTCTTTAAATTTGTTACTAACAATGTACATAAGTTAAACTTAATTTCCGATATGATGAAACAATTTCTAACTGTAAGCTTAATTATAATTATGTCTTATGCAACATTGTTACTTAAACACATGATTTTGATAGATTATTAGCTTATAGCAGTATTGAAATATCGTATTATAATTATTAATTGATTAAAAAATATATCGTTTGTAAATAATAAACTTGATAAGATTATAATAAAATAAGACAATCATATCTTACAAAATAGAGCTGATTAAATAATAAATACCTGCTGTCGCTGGAATAAAATGAAAAATGTAGTTATTAGTTATAAAATATTCGTAATATCGTTTTGCTATAAGAAGACGATTCAACTAAAAATTACAAACAATATTAATAATTATATTTATATTATGATATTGGATTCTTAAACTATTTACACATGTAAGATTAATCTAAAATAATAAAGTATAAAATCAATCAAAAAGAACTTACAAATGTCAGCTAGAAATCAAATACCCGGTGGAAATGTATAAGTATAATTACAAAAAAGTTATTATATGTTATGATTTAGGTGAAAAATTTAGTGATTTGCTTGAAAAGTTCTCAATAAATTGGGAATATTTTCAGTTGGGGAAATACTTTAAAATCGAATAGTTTTTTGTTTTTAATTTAAATTTGTACATTTTATTCATAGTACATGGTTCTGCAGTCAAATCCGACGATTTAAAAAAATAAAAAACAATATAAAACATTTTTTTTATTAATTTTTCGTCAAACAAATAAAAACTAAACAAGTTGAATTTTATGTTATATATTTAAAAACTTTATTTTTTAAAGATTGTGTCGCTCAAATGCCGTCCTTGGTTAGCCACACATTGTGATAGCCTGACAGCAAAGCTTCCTATTTTCTTGAGTCCGTCTAGTTTTTTTTACTACCGCCTCTGTTTTGAGTCGTGCTAGCTGTGGTTTCAAAGTGTTTTACCCACAGGTACCACGAGAAGGCACAGGATCTCGAGGAGATAAACTAAATTGTTGGCGAAACTCACGTTGAGTGCCTACGAAACTATCATTATTTTTTCAATACGCTTTTACCGCGAACGCACGTTGTTCAAGAGCGTCTCGGGAGCAAAATCGCGCCACCAATCAAAATCGTTCACATTTGTTATCACTATTTGTGAAAATCACGTTTCTTATCATCCTTTATAACAATTATAATGTGACAATATAATAATCATCAATCATACAGGTTAATGATGGGTACTTTCAATTCATTTTAGAGAACTAATTCATATGATTCAGCTCATTAAAATGTCATTGAATCACTGAATCAAAAGATTATATTCACATTTTATAATTGTGACTAATGTTTTAAACCTAAGGGCTAATAATTATTTACATATAAAATCAAACTGACAAACCTAAAGTATAATATTAAATGAAAAATGAATCACTGTCACTCTGTATTATTTATGTGTTAATACTCGTATGTTATATTTATTTACATTGAAAATACAAAACATAAAATGTTTAATATGTTGTGGTTTTTTCCCTTTAATTAGATTTAATAGTTATTATACCAATAATGATTATTTATTTATTTTTTATTATTTATAAAATCATAAAACCAAACAACAATATGATTTGTTGAGTACTAAAATGAGATTGAAGACAGAATATCTTTTTGTAAATTTATTTGGAAAATATACAAGGAAAGGAAATCTCTGAAGGAAGGGTTGGTTTTGGGAGAAGTACAAAACATACATACTTCCTACGATCATACTTACCAGTAATATATTTTAATACCCACTTGATTTTTTTACTATGATTTATTTTTATATTTTAGGACTTTAGGTTTGACAAATATTTTAATGTATTTATTTAATTATGACATATTTGAATTTTACTGTAACTATTATAGATAGACTTAAGATTGACAAATATTATGTTATTTTTTTATTTACTTTAGGTTGACAATATTATATAAAACGAACTTTTTACAGCACACTTAGCACTAGACTTGCAAAGTAACACTTGCCACTTATGCTTTATGATTATCTATTTATCTGTAAAAGCTAAAAATGTGCTTCTAAAATAATGTGCTTTATATAATATATTATTTATTACCTATGATAAGAAACGTGATTTTCACAAATAGTGATAACAAATGAGAACGATTCTGATTGGTGGTGCAATTTTGCTTCCGAGACGCTCGTCGTTGTTCACTCGACCAATGCTCCATGATTACTAAATTCCGGGTATTTAAAAGCGATAAGAATATTCCCGAAATCTCTACCACTTTAGCTCTGCCCGCCAGTTCTTGTTAAAATCGCCGGATTGACTGCCACACCCTGTATAGTGTATATTCTTTACTACTTTATAACATACGACTATTATTAAATCTACTGCTCTATAACATCAAACATAACGTAATACAATATTTTTAGGCACTTTCCACTATGCTCAAAAATGAAATGTAGAATTAAAACATGTTTCAGGAACATAGGAGTTATAAAAATCATTTGAAATAGATTAGTTTAGGAAAATTTGTTTGCAATGTTTGTATATATGACTTATCAAACCATACTGAAAACGTTAGCAGAATTGCAATAAAAAACCTTATTAGGAAATTATAATCATATAGTTCCACACTGTAGCTGACCTAATTGCTATATATTCAAAAAAAGTGATACTATCCTGTAATGTATAACTTTTATAAAGTATAATATTTAAAAAGTTTTACACATTTGAAAATTGTATATTTCATGATTTCAAATTCATTAAAAAACAAGTAAAAAAAAATATATCATTTGGCTAAATTTATGGAGAAGGTTTCAAGCAAAAAAAAACTATTAAGATTAATGAAATAAAAACTAAAAAAAATGTTCATACAATAAGCTGAAAAAAAAATTATAAAATATTAATTAATAACCTTATTATTTAGGTGTCCAAAAATATTAAATTGGAGGCCTTTAACTGTATTTTATTAAATACAATATAGCCGAGAACATTATCTGTGAAATATCGTTTTTATTTTTTTGATATCGTTTATACAAAAAAAGTTCTCATTGTTTCAAATTCTATTATTTTTGCGTTTTTCAAACTTGAATAACTTTTTTTGTACTTCTAATATCGAAAAAATAAAAACGATATTTCACAGCCATAGTTCTCCTTTTTATGTAGTGAAAATTGTGTTTTTAGTAATGAAATATGACTGTAGCCTTTTCGGTTATTTGCGGAACTCGCCCAATATACACACTATCAGAGTACGGCCATGGCTAGAGGAGACCATAGCGAAGATGACGATACCCTGCCCATGACCGTAACCCGAAAAATGACCCCAAGATGATAAAATCTGTACTGGCAGTAAGCACGGGCATACTGGTCTACTACTTCGTATGGACCACGGTATACTATATAATACTATAATATATCAGACACTTTTACGAACAACCCCAGCTCTTCCAAGTAGCTTCAGTAATCAACACGTAAACCGCAACCTTTGACATTGAAAAGAAAATCTACAACCATTGCTGTCATGAGCCAACGTTTTGGACACAGATCTTCGAACTTCGGCCGGTACACCATAAAAAAACTGCCAAAAAACAGCAGATCAAAATCTATTATGTTTCAACTGAGGTGAGCCCACTGTACCAACTACCATGGCAATATGAAATTTCCTACGCAAACTCTGACAAGAAGCTCCCTAAAACCAATCCCCGATAACCTTTTGTAAAAGGCGGCACCACTGTCGTCATTCTCTGACGTATTGTTCACCGCCAAGTGCATTTAAATACTCTGTTAAATTCAACATCTGTTGGAATAGCTCTGGGTGCAGACTTGATCCACTATGTGATATCTACAAACGATTTCTGTCACCTTCCTAGGTAAATAACCTCAATATTTTGTCAAACAACAGCGATTGGTTTATTATAACTGGTGACCTAAATGCCGAATATACTGTCCAGGTTAGGTTATATTGGTTATATTGATACTATCGGGCACAGTAACTGAGTAAATCACATCACTGTATCACTGGGAGCAAGACGGATCAGTTGTCTCTTTTATCTCTGGTTAATATTGAAATGATATTATGTTGGCTGATTGGCGCATGTTGATTAGTCATTTGGTTCTGTTGGACTTTTATTCATATATGGGTTTCTTAGTAACCTTGAGAAGGCCGAATTTAGTATGTGTAATCTGTACTCACAGTTACAATATTTAAATGAAAATGGATTTAAAAAATTTCTAATTAGCACCTTTTAGTTGCACGCACATGCATTTTGTTGATATAAATTTAAAACTTCGTTTAACTAATTTAGTCAATAACTTAATATTTACGTACGTAGTATCACATCTAAAAAAATAAATTATTATAGTGTAATTGTCAATAATATAAGTTAGAAAATATAATAAATGGTATAACAACCTAGGGTTTATGATGTTAATAATTATAAATTGTCATGGTTTAAAAATGTTCAGTAGGGAATAATTTTTATAATATGGCAACTTATTGTTTTTGATTGAACTATATGATTTGATTTCTAAATAATTAAAACATTTACAATTACTGATATATATAATATATATATATATATTTATATATCAATATTAATATTGATTAAGCTTTATAATATAGTAGGTAATATGTTATATCGTTTTGTAATAAATATTATTAACCATGATAGTCGAGACCCTCGATAACATTTCAATAATAATATGTTCTCTGGTCAGCAATCGTTCAAACGCTGGACTAAAATTTGCTTAAGACCACTTTGTATATTGAAATACATTTTTTTAAAGTTTATTACAGTCCTTTTCATCAGAGAACAAATATGTCCTTGCAAATGATGAGAACTGTATTTTTAGTTGTCAGCAATTATTAAAAAAACTAAGTCAATTATGTGTAAAATCAATGTTTTAAAAACAAGCGGAAACTGTATGTATTGGTCTATAAAGTATTTTTCAAGGACTGTTAGTTTTCTTTGTGCATTGATCTTCAAATTTAAGGATGGATTCTAGTAGTTAAATGGATCATGTTGATACATTTGTGACGTAAAACAAGATCATTCTAATAAGTTTTTATAATATTCAGGATAAAAAAAAAATTAGGGGAGCTCAGCAAAACTGTTTTGTTGTAACTAATTCAAAAAACAAAAATGCCTGTGGACTCTACATTGTAGAGACTTACAATTTTCACCAAATATTTATTTTAGAAATTAATCGATTTGACGTAATTCACATTATCATTTACAACACGACAAAATATTTCAACTCTTTTTGTGCTATTTATTGAAATTTAACATTTTTTTATCGATTAAGGTGTAAACAAAATTATGTTATTAAGTAAGAAAAAAAAATGTAATCCAAGGTTTCTCTTGTTTTAAATAGTATCGAAATTACAGTCATAGTTTTGTTGATAACTGTTTATACTTTAAAGTTTAAATTTGTAGGAACTCCATAACATTTTTTTATTTCTCCAGTTAGGAGCTTAACAAATTCTGTACAAAATAATATTATTATGTACCTATTATTTCACGTCTCCTCAAACTCTGGGCTCACTCTATAATATGGTTACCTAAATTACTCAGTACCTACCTCGTACATATTTTAGAATTTATTAGAAGTCTGTCTAAAGGAGATCGGTGCATCGAACAGTCAAGTTTCATGTCCCTTAAACAGAATTCAATAATATGTATAGGATACTAAGTAATATGGGTAATTTATTTATGAAATATACTCTGTTTTAGTGGACATTAGTGGCTTATTAGAAAATAATAAATAATACGTACAAGATGCAAGTGACACTGTAAATGATAATGTTTATTTAATAAAAATATAGTAAAATAGATTTTTTTTTTTTTATTAAACAAAAAAACCCTCGGCAGCAAGGCCATTGGGATATATAATAATATATAATAATAATGTTACTACATGTTATGTGTTAGAAAACAAAACAAAAGAACAAAAAAAAAGACAAAAGAATAAAAAATAGTTATTTAATGTGTATGGTTATTAGATAAGTTTGAGCAAACCAGACTGTTGAAGGAAGGCTATTATATTGGAGACTGGTAGGTTAGGTCCGAGGCTTTCAAATATGTCTTCCGGAAGATGATTGTGTTCCATTGCATCAAGGTAGGTGTTGCACTCGGTCATGATGTGTTTGATCGATAGATTTACACCACAGGATGGGCATATAGGGGGTGCCTCACGAGACATCAGGTACCCATGGGTGAGTTTGGTGTGACCTATTCGGAGTCTATTGATACTGGTTTCTATTTTAAGATTTGAGTGGTTGTTTGGCCAATGTAGGGTTGATTGCTTTATCTCATTGAGTTTTGTTCTTTGTGTGGACCAGAGGTTTTGCCAGGATTTTGCTGATATGAGTTTTATTGTGCGTTTGGCATCATGGGCAGAGATCTTTGCGATAGTAAAATAGATTATATAGCATTATAAGCATATTTCTATGTTTTCATGATTAAAGATTATAATACCTAAATTTTGAGGGGAAAAAGTCTATTCGATTCTGTAAAATGTTATTCTAAACATTCATAGTTAACTTATTATACTAAATAGTGTGCAGTCAAATTAAACAAATAAATAAAAACTACGCTTTTGAAAAAGTCAAAACGATATTTTGACACGTACTACTGCAATAATAATGTAGGTGCTTAAGGATAAAAATGAATAGTATAGCCTCTCGTATTAATACTAAATAAAAAAACAATTTTTTGTTTTGGACGCATGTATAACGACTTTTTATATGGAATAATGAATAAATGTGATATCTGTAGGATGTGACTCTATGAACGTCATACGTAATTCATTTCTTTGTTTGTCGAAGCGGTGATAACTAAAGTGAAAATGTATTTTCTGAATATTTAATTTATTATTTTAATACTATTATGATATACTTTTATAAATGCAATAAAAACAAAATATTTAAAGGAAAACGAAACACCATGAACTCGTATAGTTTTAAAAGAAATACCATGTTCAATAAAACAACGATTCAAATTTTCGTAATTAAGTTAATGCATTCAAAAACAGTATCCTATGGAACAGTTCCGTTCCTGTTGAGTTTAAACACATAATGTTTGAACTGTTATTTCTAAACTTATGACTTCTAACCGCCTTCTATATTTACGCTATATTCAAAATGTTTAGATATTATGTATATTTTTATTATATTTATAAACATATGCATAACACTATTGTTTCGTTTACCCTTTTGTAATTTCCGTTAGGCGTATAAGTTGTAAATTAATTAAATAACCAGTTAGCACTGCGATATGTTCTGAATTCGTTAATCTTGGCACAAGATATTATTGTTATAACAACACATTCAACTGTTCAAGGAAAATTTTTGAACAGATACCACTAAGAAACCGGAACTAAGTTCACAACAACTTTTGATATGTTATTTTAGTCATTCCAGAAGAAGGGAAAGTAATAAATAACAATGCACTTAAAATAATAAAGATACTTACTAATCGCGCCTGCAAAATATGTATATAATGTACCGAAGTTATTAATGATACAATTAGATGTAAGTAATATATGGTTACGTTAAATGTTTATTATTATTTTTTTTTTAATTAATCTTAAGGCCGGAAACTATGGCCATTCTCTGTTTTTGAATAAGGCTTGTAAGTTTGTTGGTTTACAGGGGGGAGGAGGAACTGTAGGTTTTTAACACGTGTGTGTAGTGTGTTTGTGTTTGGCAGAATTTTGATTGAGCACCCGTAGGTTTCTTCCATGCTCGGAGAAAAATGCCACCCGTTTTCGAGTTTAGAGCCCGCGACGGTGCAAGTTGCAACCACGGACTAAGATAATACTTAAGATCTTAGTCCGTGGTTGCAACCAACGCCTTAGTCCACTCGGCCACTCCGTCCCAAATTGAATGTTTATATTTATCTAAAAATGGGTATTTAAGCTAGTAGACGAATTAATTAATATTATACCCAATGTAATCCTGAAATCTCACACAGAATAAAGTTAAAAAATAAAAATATACTTACCCAGAGTTGCTAGAGAAAATTATAATAATTATTAATATTTATATAAAACTTAATCCAATATTTTCAATACAGGGAAATTTATTTAAAAAATTTAATAATTAATTATAGCTCTTTTTATACATGCTGCAGATAAAAGAAAAGTTAAAATCATTAACATTTATTGTTACAAATGGAAACTAAATACTTAGTAATAATTAATAAATAATGACAAAAGTGCAACGGATTGGGTAGTTTTAATTTAAAAATTATCTAGTTTTTATTTAATATTTTGAATAACAATTAATGTAAAAATAACTTCTAGGTACTAGTAATAATAATAAGATTACTAATAAAACTTGTATTACGAATAATAATTCGTAATTGTTATAATATATTATGAGCAAAATATCACATATATTTTTACTTTATTACTCAAATTTGCAATATAATAAAACACACACAAATTACGTACTTTGTAAATTATCTAAATAAAAAATACAAAAGGTTTATGCGTGGATAATTGTTATACTAATATGCTTAAAAACAATTAATCGTATATCATTGGTATGAAAACAAAATTATAGGCATTTAAGTTACTATTATCATCAACAAAACTTTACAAATAATATTTAGTTGTCAACAAAATAATCATTTACAATGTACAACAACAAATATATGTAATTATAATTCTACTGGGACTGAGATCAATAAACCGTTACACGGTCCTTTACGAGTATAAAATAATTGTTCACATTAACATAATGAACCGTATTATGTATAAAATAACTCAGTATAGAAAATTCTAGTATTGTGAATATTAGCATAATTTAATTTAATACAATATCTAAGTTTGAAACAGAATACAAAACTATTTCTTAACTTAATGTAAGGAAGTTCATAGTTCTAATTTATGATGCCATTGATATTCATTAATTCACCTATACCTACCTACTTCCACAGTAAGACAAAATGTATAACTTATAAATACTTACGATCCTGGGATTCTATAAAAACAAATTATATGTAGCTTACAATAAATGGTGTTAATTAATACTTGTTTGTTCTTTTATTCGAGCTTAATTTTTACTATGTCTGTCGATTGTGCAGACATAAATATTTTCTGCAGTGATAAATATTTTGCAGTAATAACCTTTTTATGGATTTAGGAAAATCCTCACATGATACCTACTGTAGGTAAAAATGTGTTTATATTAAAACGCTTTGAATAAAATGATATCTAGTGTGATAAGTTAGATTTTTGAGATAACGATTATAACTTATAATAGGTACCATCAAAATGTCATGACTTGTATACATAGTTATACTATGTAAGAATTATAGGTATGTTATTAAATGTACTTATCAACTGTACAATATAATTTATAATATAGATATATTGGATCTATATGACAGAGAACTTGATCTGCTGTATAGATGATCTCGAATGTTCCTATAGTAATTCGTCATTGGTACCTATATCACAGTAATTATAGATGTGTCAAGTTTTAATTCAATGGTGAATTTGCTAAAGCTTATTATAAGTGTAGTTATGTACTTATCTTATATATACCATTTAAAATACAGTAATTTGTAAACTGTTACAGAACCTTTGCAAATTATATTCTATAAATTAATTAATACATTTTTATTAACTAAAAAACAAGTGCCAATACATACTTAGCTTATCTAAAAAATAATTGTAATTGATTATCACTATTTCATTGGAGAAGTTAAGAATTACAATACACTAAAGGATCTAAAGGACAGTTTTGGGGTGAAGCAACAACACACATTTAGTTTCAAATAAATACCTTCAAAATTCACGTTTAATATATTAGGACTGTTTACATCTGAAATGTAATTATACTAGAATTAAAATTGGTATTATAATAGAAACTACATTGGTAGTTGTGCAACGTACAAAATTTAAAAATAATAATTAATTCTTATGAGAATTGTGTTAACGAGGGCGTCCTGGAATCGCAATTTAGCATACATTTAATCGTCCATGCAATGTTTTGTTGCCAGAAAGTTACTCTTAACAATGTACTTAATGTATATTGCTTATAATAAATTTGTTTATAAATATATTTTTTTAAGTAGATACCCACGAATAATATTTTTATATTTCAACAAAAAAAAAATTTAAAAAAAAACTTAGCTTATATTTTTTTTATTTTTTGGTTACAGAATTAGCTACTTGTGTGCAACTTTGTGTTACATTTTTGACCCTTAGGTATAAAAGTTGAACATTTAATATATTTTTAACTACAAAATCTACTAAATAATTTGTGCATTTTGAATTTGATAAATTTAGTCTATTTGAATTCCAAATGTTTAAAAAACTAACTCGTACTAAGGTATTTTTAATATTTTTTCAGATGATATTGTAACAATATATTAGGACCCTTATATTACATTGACAAGTTTTTTGACCCAACAATTAAAATTATACTGACATTTATAGAAAAAAAAACTATTTTTTTTTACTTTCACAAACATTACATTTTCAAATATGTGACCGAGTGAAAAGTTACGGGATCGCAATTATTTATTATTTCAGTGATGTTAGCCGTTAGGTCATAATATGTCAATCGGTTGAGTAGCAAAAAAAATTTCAAAAATCACGGGACATAAAAAAACACAATGGTACTCGGATATTATTTTTTTATAAAGTATAAACTCAAAACATTTTTACCATGTTGAGGTTTTAAATATTATGTTTTATTTTTATATATTTGTTATCTGAACATAAAAGGAAATTATGTTTTTGAAGTTTTATTAATAAAAAAAAACATTAAGTTGCATTATCTTTTTGCGAAATATATCTCACTAATATAACTTAACAAAATAAATGATATTTAACATATATATTATGTACCTACTATTTCTGCAAACAATTAAAATCCTACTGAGACTATTAACCTAAACGACATATTTCATCAATATGAAAAATATTTCAATTGTCCTAATGGGGGTGTTTCGTTTCAATGTCCCCCACCACTTCGTTCTTGGGATAGCGCTGGAAGTTTTTGTGCACACACGTCGGGACTTGGTGCACATTTCTGTACAAACGATGCACAAACGTTTGTCGTTGTCAGAAGTTCAAATTTTGAAAGTGGGGGGGGGGGGCATTGAAATTGACCTTTGTTACTTTAGCATATTTAATCGTATTTTGTTATAATTTTTGGTAGAAAAAAACCTGTTTTCTATATAAAGAAGTACACAAAGCCATCAATTACTTTATGCTTACGTTATTTTAATACCCAATTAAAGTATACTAATGTAGGCACTATAATCTTTTAACGTAGGTATCAAGATTATTATGTGAGCCACTGCCTCAGTCCGTACAGATTATATTTTAAACCACAACACAGTTCACAATATTATTTACAATAATTTTAAAATAGGTATCTACAATACATATTAAGAATAACAATACATTTTCTGTTTATTTTACGCATTTTTAAAAATTATTTTCAGAAAAATACAAAATTATAGTTATTATTAAGCATTATGTGTCAAAATTAAAAATTAAAATACGATATAAAATTATAAACACAACTTTTTTTTTTGATGAAAACAGTAAACAAACTATGGCAACTAAAAATAGAGCACATTAATACCCAATTTAACTAATATTGCACCACCAATCGATTAATTTATAGTAAGTACCTATATTGTATGTCGGAAAAATGGTGTATGCTTATTACCTAATGTACAATACAAAATATCTTCGATTAAGTAAATTATGTTCTATTAGTATTGAATGCATATTGAATACAATCCACTCCTATATTTTTTTAAATTCTCATTAAATGGTTTGGATACCAGATTATCAAATACAAGAATTTGATCTGAAAAAGTATAAACATTTTATCTAACGGTGTTCCTCAAGGTGACACCTTTCCCCTTTATTTTTTTTTTGTCAGGTATAAATGATGTTATCCGGATGAAAGCAAAATAATTCTCAAATTTTTAAATTTTTAATACCAACTAGCATTTTAGACAAAATATAATTGTAACTGTTAAATATATTTTTCATAATGTAAACTCTATAACAATTGTAAATAATATCATAGTATTGTAAATAACATCTAAGACCTTAATCTAATGGCCCTTGATGCCGTGTTGTACTAACAGATCAATAATAAAAAAAAAAAATGATGTAGTAAGTTCATAAATATGATATAAAGTGTTTGTGTTATTTATCTTTGTCTACTGAAGTAATATAGGTCCACGATGATTGGTTTGAATGCTATACTATTCTATATAGCTATAATGATTTTTAAATAGTCCAAGTATATTTTCAGTTTAATATATGCAATAGATTCAATATTATACTTATAAATGTTATGGCGTATAGAAAACGCTAACACAAATATTCAGTGAAAATGTCATATATCTACGGTTTTTTTTTTTAGAGTTACACTAAATATTATTGGGAACTTCAAAAAAGGATGTCATAAAATAAATTATTTGTTAATTGCAGTTAACTTACTTTTGAATCCAGCACAAAGTAGAACTTCTATGAATTTTAGAATTATTTAAACAAAATTATATTAAATTAATTGTGAGTATGTAGAACAATAAATTGATTAATTTAAGAAGATCATTCGCTAATCTCAAATGATTCAATCGTTTGCCACTAAAGCTTACAAGCATGGCATACTTACTTTTTAAAATATTTTTCTAATTGTTTATTGTCTAATAAATTTGGCATTTATTGTTTTTGTGAAATCGTCAGTTGGGGTAATGGTCATTAATATAACTACATCAACCTTCTAATTTTTTTTCAATTTCTTATTCATCATCTTTCTGGTACTTAACACGTACAATATTTTTGAGTACGAATACAATATTCATTATTTGTTTTTAAATAAAAAATAAAAAATGTTACCTTTACATCTTTCTAAAAACAAAAAATTATTTTTATCACTCCGTCTTGTCTATTTATTACAAATTACGTAAATGTATTACTAAAAATATTTAATTGTTGGCCTGATTATTTTGTATACATCATTTTAGCTTTTTACAGCTACCTATTATAGTTATCATCCGAAGGAGTGAGCAACCTATTTAAAGTCATAGACTGAAAAATAAATATGTACTTATACATTTTTCATAGACTACAATTTGAATTATTATAAAAATCATTTCTGATAAATATCAAGCAACTAAAAACTAAAACACAATTATAATCATTTTAAATTAATAAATAGATCATTACCACGTAATTGTTTTTCATTTTCTAACGAAGCCGAAGGCATAAACCAAAATGAAATTACAATATATGTTAACACTATTAAATAATGTTTAAAAAAATGCATTTTTCTCACTATGAAATAAAAGATAAACAATATGAATGTTGAACAAGAAATGAAATAAAATGTAACTATTAGGTTTCTTTTATAACCGTCGTGTTTCCATGCCATACTTACCTACTATCTTGGCACAAAGTAAATAATGTACACAATAAGTTGGTTATTTATTGTTTGCTATATTTTTAACAGACATAATAATGAGGGGAGTGATGAATGTATTGATTTTATAATGACATGTGTTTTTACAGTTTTTGTATTTATTCATTTATTTTTTTTTTGTGTCTGTCATCACGAGTTTTTGCAGTAAAAGCGCTTCGATTTTCTTCAACAACAACTTTTCTGATAGGAATGTGAATCCAGTTGTTGCATTCGGGAGGTCAAAATTTAAAATTCCCAATAATTTTTAGTGTAACTCTAACAAAAAAAAACCGTAGATATATGACATTATTTATTTTATAACACCTTTTTTGAAGTACCTATGAATACATAATTGTGTTTTTTTCACATGAGTAAGTAATTTGCGTGAAAATCAAACAAAGCGAATAGGCTTTATAGGCGTCTCAATAACGAAATAATAATTCGGCGTTCGTCTTAAGCAACATACAGATACATTATTGTTTATTTTATTTTATAACACCTAAGTAAATAATGACGTGTATGATTATTAAACACGGCGAAGAGGCTATGTAGGAATCTCAAGCAGATGTTAGCAATTTATTCACATTGTTCGATCGACTTTAAAATATTCCACTAAATATTTTAAAATTAATTTCTAGTAATATCACATAAGATAATACTATACAAAAAAAACTTATCGAAATTCGAAATGCATAATACTCATAAAATTATACACCAATAAAATTATATTTGTATAAGCACAGTATAAAATGTGGATATGTTACTACGCCACTTCATTCCACTCATCTACATTTTTAAAACTTATACTTGTTCAAATTTCAACATTTTTGTATGAAGTACACCGAAAACTAGCAATGTGTTATATTTAATTATTTATTCTCTAGCAATGATCTAATTTATTTAAGTATTAATTATGTAAAGATTTATTTTCTTTACTATGTTAGTATAAAAATTATCTAGTAATATTATCATGCAATAATGAAATGCCATGTTCTAACGATAAAATATAAATTATATAGTACATTATTATTTATTTTTATCTATTGACTATTAGTTTTTAATTTATAAAAAGGCATATCTACACGTTATGTCATTCCTATTGCGTATTTAAAATAAACGTCTGTGTTTAAATCTTATTCACATAAGGCTAATATTCAATTTGTTATAACTTATAAGCTATAAACAAATCAACTTGTTTTCCGTCGACATTGTTTATGTGGTAATAAATTATTTAAAAAAGTATGAATATATTAAACAAGTATTAAAAAGATAGAAAAATTAATATTTCTATTCCAAGTTGTCATATAGTAAATATTATAATTAAGTATTACATTTACATATAATATGAGACCATATTACATTAAGATCTCTTAATACCGGAAACTTTCAGTCCCTATTCATATTGTCCAGTTTGTATACAGCTTGTAGTTTATTCCCAAATAAAACATCCAATACTTGGAGGTATTGTTCGTGTTCGAGCTTTGATGTAAGCCCACCTTTAAAAATGGTTTAAAAGAAATAAAAAATAAGTATAATATTGTATCTATTGTATATATTATACTGAATATACACTTGGACTATTTAAAAATCATTATAGCCATATAGAATCCTATAGCATTCAAACCAATCATCGTGGACCTATATTACTTCAGTAGACAAAGATAAATAACACAACAACTTTATATCAGGTATTAAAAATTATGTAAGTGTTTCATTTTATGAAGTACATCATTTTTTTTTTATTATTGATCTGTTAACAGATGCTGTTTTGCTGTGATGCTGTGTTGCCGTGTTGCCTATGTTTACCTTGCTGTCTTGTTGTATTAATTAATACAACATGGCATTAAGGGCCATTAGATTAAGGTCTTAGATGTTATTTACAATACAATGATACTATTTACAATTGTTATATAGTTTAAATTATGAAAAATGTATTTAACAGTTACAATTATATTTTGTCTAAAATGCTAGTTAGTTTTAAAAATTAAAAAAATTGAGAATTTTTCGTTTTCATCCGGATAACATCATTTATGCCTGACAAAAAAAAAAATAAAGGGGCAAGGTGTCACCTTGAAGAACACCGCTAGATAAAATGTTTATACTTTCTCAGATCAAATTCTTATATTTGATAATCTGGTATCAGTGGTATCCGAACAATTTAATGAGAATTTAAAAAAATATAGGAGTGGACAATGTCCCCCCGCCACTTTGTTTTTGGGATAGAGCTTTAAGTTTTTGTGCACAAACGTCGGGACTTGGTGCACATTTTTGCAGAAATGCACAGACGTTTGGCGTTGTCAGAAGTTCAAATTTTGAAAGAGGGGGTTGGGCCATTGAAATGGACCTAAGTAACAAATATTGTATAGTTACCTAAAATAATTATACATTTAAAATCACTCAAAATGCCAAATTAGGGCCCTATTGCATATCAAATGGTATAGAGGTTTTAATCGTTTGTTAAAAGTTGGCTCATAGATTGTTTTTTCATTTGTGTACAAAAAATATTTTTATGCATGTTGTGTACATTAATATTTTTGACTATTGTACATTACCATGCCCTTAAAATGCAGAGTTAACTAACATAAGACAATAGTTTTTAAATTAATAGTCTTCTTTTTTTTATTAGGTACATCTGGTCAATCTAAAATTAGTGGTGTACACAACAATATACATTTAAAAAAAAGTAGGTAAGTAGATGTCACTCTGCTGTACATTAGGTGTCCAGGAGGTCACTGTAATGGGTGGTTTTAAATTTGAATTCAATGATATCATATCATTGTATATTATGAAAAACGATTCTGAGCGGAGACGGTTTGTCAGTCTAAGTCGTCTTGGATATTTTATATTGTTATTACTTATTATTACTATGGTAGCTGGTAAGTTCAATTAGTATTATTCTTAAATTATCAGTGATGCTGGAAAAATATTAAATATAAGTATGTAAAATGAGGCTGTTTTGGAACCGAATTACAACAAAATGATAAACGTTATTATTTGTGTTAATATGCAATCTTATCCAAATTTGAACTTTAAATGTTTGTAAAGAAGAACTATATTTATATATTTTTTAGATTTTTTAGTTACTGAAAAACCAGTTTAAATGGAACATTGTTTTAAATTTTCAATTCTTAGCTAGGTTTTTTGATAAAGGTAGACAAACTTGTAAGGAATCTTGTATTACATTTTTAAAATCTTAGGTATAAATAGAAAAAAGCGGGTAAGTGGATGTCGCTCTGCTGTACATTATAGGTGTCTTATAAGAGGTCGCTGTAATGGATGGTATTAAATTTGAATTCATTGATATAAAATCATTGTATATGAAAAAAGATTCTGAGCGGAGACGGTGTGTCAGTTAAATATAATATATTATTATAATATTGTTATTACTTATTATTTATTGTTTTAGGTTGTAAAATAATTTCGATAGTTACTTCTCATTGGAATCCCTAATTCCCTATACACGACTATTCATAATTATTTATAGATAATTATTGCAGTAAAAAAATATTTGAGTTTAAGTGGGTAAGTACTATATGTATATATACCTATACTAACCTAACCTATGTATATGTAGAAACAATAAACATTTTTCACTCAAGACATTGTAATAAATAAATAAACATACACACCTACTAATCTTATATAAAATCATTGAATAGTATTATTATACCTAGCGTCAATAAAATCATAATATTCTAATCATATCACCAAATGACTGTAATATACTAATATAATATTGTAGGTCCTTTATATTAAAATAGTAGAGTTTCAATATACATATTAATATATCAACAGTACGTAGATAGGTGCTTTATTCTTCTGCTGTTTACAGTCGACTATTATATATTCTTTAATGGACTGGTCGATTCGATCGTGTCATAACCGGCTAGAGTAGGTGTAACATCGCGATTCTTAATCCACTATAATACATTCTATCAGCTATACACATTACATAGCTAAATAGTGATCAGCGTTTAAAAATTGGTATGCTGTCTAATAGAATTATATTATAAAGGATGTTGACCCGTCAGGAATTTAAAATTTTAGTAGAACAACATGTTTAACGTTCACACACAATTAATATTAATATTGTGAGTATTTAAAATAAACATCACGGTATAAGTACCTATTCATTAATAACATTGCATTGTAGGACTGTGGGTATCTATTTAAATTTGTATTCAGACAAGTACACTATAATATATTTTAGTGATGTAACATATTTTTGTATCAAAAATGATGGGTAAATTATAGATATTATACCTAGTTTAATAAATAATAATACCATCACCGCCATGACTCGTGAGTTTAAGACTAAATATATGGTATGGCGTCTTAATCTTGCAGTGCATGCCGGTAAATTTTGAACGAAACGCACTACGTCATTAAATCAGATGAAAAATAAAATTAATTTTAAGATTTACATAAAAACGTTTTATTTAATGTCTGGAACGGGATGGATAAAAAAAATTACATACCAATTGACTTAAGTATTAACATTATATTCATTTACCACTGCGGAATGACTACAATTTTGTATCTTATGGTATTTCAAAATGATACCTGCTATGGTGGGGGTATTTGCGAGCGTCAGGACGTAGAACAAGTGACCTGCCGAACTGAGTATCATTCGAATTCGAATTTAATCTCATGTCTGTTCCGGTTCTGGATACTAGTGACTAGTGCTACATTTTTTTGCAGATGAACAAATCCAAGGAGTGTGCTGCAATATAACATCATACATTTTTGTCAGGTAACATTTATTTTTATTTTACTCTTTATTATAATGTTAATAACCAAAAGTCAATTATGCATTTGAGTGTTTATACTAAACGATCGAAACACAACTAGATTATTCAGGAATATTAAGCATAAAAGTATATAATAAATATGCAATTTTATTTTGTTAATTTGTCATTTTTTTTAAATGTAATTTCAACATTTTTAATTCTTTAACAGTATTTAGTTGGTTTTTTTAACCAAATTTATAATAATGCATATTTTAGCTGTATTTATAATTTTCATTTGTTTTTGTTTATTACTCCAAATCCAAATTATAATTCGATAACAAAGTTATTTATGTATATTGTTTACATCTAATTTGCCATAGGTTTGTTTTATAGACACTGATTTAAAATATTACTCTTATGAGTAGGAAATAAATATATAATGATTACAATGTTAAATCCTGTTAGTGTTGAACATTTAAAATGTTTAAACGCATATTCTGTTAATACTCTTACATTTCAACGAATGAAATACAGTCACCAATGCTTTGAAGTTAAAATAAAACAATACGTCTTACGTAATAGTAAATTATATATTGCTATATTATTAGTTACCTATAAATATTATAAAGTTCAAATATATTATTACATTGAATAATATCTTATATAATATTAAAACATTCAATGTGTATTATTACATCGCTTTGATATTTCGATATCTAAAGCAAAAAAGGAGTAAAATTAGAGCATATTATAATTCATATACATGGCATATGCTGAACAAATTTCTATAGATATAAATGGTACAATATACAAATACTCATATATAAATACATAATTAAATCTAATATTCAAATAGTATTGAGTAATAATAAATACCTTTAACTATACCTAACCATTAATAATTTATTATAAACATAATGTATTTATTTATATAAATAATTGTATATGAATAAGCATAATAATCATTCCAATAATGGTTTATATCACCATAGGTATGTAAGTAATCTGAAAGGTTGAAATTCTTTTTAATATTCTGCAATGAAGAATTAGTTAATAGCTTAATATCAAAGCTATTTAAATACTTGTAAGATATAATATACCTATAGTTTATTATAATATATATTAGTTATTAATTATTAATACAATTCAAATTCAAATATTATTAATATTATTGGTGTACTTAATGTGGTATAATTTTTTTGTGTGCGTATATAGAAGTTGTTTTTATTAGTAAAAAATAAATAAAATATGTAGTTATCTAACCTATATGTGAATGACATCGATGCATCCCAAATGTATCCAATAAACAAATGTACAAGTTTACAGTTCTAAAATGCAAATTTTTATACTTCGCAAAATGTTTAGAATTCCAAATTGTACATTCCCCTGTATTTTTTGTTGAATTTTTGCCATTTGCCAAATATATATACTGTCGTCATAAAGTGGTGTATAGTTACTAACAGTAAATCTCAAAGAAACTGGTTTTTGGAATATTTGTGAACATTAATAATGTAAATAAGTAGGCCTCTATAAAATAGTACGTATTATTAAAGAGGTCAATACACCGACCAAGAAATATATGATTTTTAAAAGTTTTAGATCACTCTATACGATATATAGCTATGTACTACTGCACCAACGCGCCATGAACTTTCGGCATATTATTAATCTAACGGAATCGTATAATTTGATATAAATAGAAAACTATCCATTTCCTTAGTACAAATAATTCATGGCATCACGTATATAATATTATAATACTACACGATAGTCAGAGTGTTGTTCTTCAACTTGACACTGACGTGACATAATGAATACGGTGCTCAAATCTATATTATTATTTTAATAATTTTTCCGACGTCCGGGAAAGGTTAGGGTCCATTCACGCATATAGCTATCGTACTTACATGTCTACTATATAATACAATATGCAATAAATAATATCATGTCCCACGCACGTTTAAATATTTATATATATCACTGTTTCGTGTACCTAACCATGCATAAGAAAATTAAAACATTTGATATTTGTTTGTTGCTTAATGCGCTCGGATATTAGGTCGGACGTTATAACTATCTAGCAATATATTTATATGTCGGTACGTAATAACATAAGTGCAATAAAAGTGTGGGCAAACCTCGGAGTCGAGGACCTCTTCAGTCAACGACTGAGCTGTAAACCCAACTCTCGACACTATGTGTTATACGTACATACAATGTACGTTAAGAAGAAATAAAAAAATTGCAAAAATAATAATGTATAACGCGATTGTCCGTCTGGCGTCTGCGGTATAGGGGATAATATGGCTTAAACCTACCTATCTATATAGTTTGAACATAATTTTATTTATTTCTTTCAACTTTGTATCGCATTATCTATTACAGCGAGTATAATAATACTTTATACGAGTGTTACAATAGTTGAACCACCGCAGACGTCATTATATTATTTACCTATACTTGTATACTAACGGAGTGCGGCAAGAATGTACCTACATATTATATATTATATTAATCCTTCTTTTGGATCGTTTTACAACAGCGTAATAAAAATATTATAACTATAATTCTCATCCGTATAGATCATTGTACAGCTTGATGTTATTCGCACTGTGTATAGGTACAATGACTATAAACGTACGACAACAGAGACGCTATATTTATTTTTTATTTCATACCTAATGTGTTTTAAATTACATTCATTTACATATACGTCTCAACATATGCATTACGTACATATTCGCATACTGATTGTTTTAGAGATTGGTTCAACTCTACAAATGTATTTACATAAAAAAAAATATTTATACATATTATATGGTAGGTACATATTACTTACAAAATATTATTATATACTTTCATTTAAAAATGTAAACATATTGAATTTAGTCACACGTCAAATTATTTATACACATATCTTATGAATTTGATGAATGATTCAGACAACTCATTTTTAATGCAACATTAATACTATGGAAAATGGAAATACATATTATTATGACGATTAAACATGCATGTTACAAAGTATAATTTAAATTATAATTTATAAGAATTATACTTTTGTCTAGAGCTGTAATAATTCAACTATTTAAACTTCAAAGCCATAATATCATTAAATATTACAAAATAATAATGAAAAGAAAATCAATTTTTCAAATAAGAGTTTAGGTTTTTAGTGATAGCTTCAAATACCTACGCTATATTTTTCAACTCGATTATTTCCTTAGTTCTTTAATTTATTTAAAATCTACATTAAATGTAGGTATAAGTAGCCAGACCGTTATGTTAATATTAAAACCACATATTTCTTAGTGCTAGTAATAAAAATTTTACAATAAATGTCTCCACAACGATAAAAGCTCAAGCAAACGATAATTGAATTTCTCATCGTCAAACAACCATATATTATTATTAATGTATTTTTATAAATTTAAACATTGACAAATATCGTACGAAACCATTATATATATTATTATTATTATTATTATATGTCCTTATAGGTACAGATACTTTTTTTGCGATTTTTAAACGATGCACGTATATAAATATATAATACCTGTATACATGTATGTTATCTGCGCTAAATATAGATAAGTATAACCTAACCTATTTACCTATATATATATATATTATAACACTTGTACCTCTATATGCTGTATTATGTACGAACGTCGTTAAAAAATAATGTTCAAGACGGTTTTCATGCGGTCTGCTGCAACATGTACCTCAAACACCTCAAAGTTATAACTATTTTTATGTTAAAAAATGCCAGAGACACATGTATTGGCCATTATGATTCGAGAGAATGCGTCTGAATACAATATAATAACATATGTATGTCGACGCAAGGTCGACGAAAGCGCGAGCATTATTCTACTACAATACACATACGCGCATATACTTATATTATAAGTCTACATCGTTTTGTTCACGGCTCTTTTGTCGCATTTCGTTTATTTTCAAATTTCGGGAAAACTTTTACTTTTGCACGCTTTGCGCATACTGAACACCCAGGTAATGTGACGTGTGTATATATATGTACATTGTACGCATTACGATATAATATAGGTAGACTACCTACCCACTCGGCTCATACCTCTGTTACGCGATCGTTTTGCCATTGAAGCTCATCGCGTGTCCTTTTTATAGGCGGTGACCCGGTGAGCACGCTACCATTTGGTCTTCAGGCTCAGGCAACGAGCAACGTCTCATCCGTGTATAATACCTGCACAATATAAGACACGTCGAGAAATGGGCGATACGATGACCGGCCGCGACGTGACGGCGACATCACTGAAGGTAAGTGATTTTCGATTTCCTGTTATTTTTCTTTCTATTTTTTCCCCCCGACAGTCCAACGAGTTGTACGCCATCGACGTGTTCGCCTTTTTTCCCGGACGAACGTAATTATAATAATGTTTTTGATTCGGTGCACAAATTTTACTTCAAGATACATTATAACGTATAAACTCGAATAGTCGATGCATGATTACTGCGCAGTATTGTAGTGTGCGTGAGACATTAATTATTTCGTTCCGACGATTTTTTAACATTGACTTAAGTGACTCCACTGCAATCTATAAATGTATATTATAGATAGATATATACATATATAAATAAAAATATACAATGCTAAGACGTAATGTGTGTAATTCCAGAAATATATTAGATTATGCGATATGGGTAGGTATAGGAAACGATCTTAAATTGATTTTAATGGAACATTCCCAACAAAGTGGGTATAATATATTATAATATACCTACAATTACAGTATAAACGTTTATTATGCTAATGCATTATTATAATTGATTGTAAACAATTAAATTATTTTTGGAGGAAATGGTTCTTCGGACGATGGTTTTGTTCGTCATCACGATGGACGTATGTTGGGGATCGGATCCACCAAAATCGTACGGGCCGTCTCCGTCGAACGATAACTACCAAAATAATTACGAATCTGAGTTTCAAAGGCCGTTAGCTGTGTTCACGGAGAGACCAGTGAATGTGGCTAACTTTGTACTGATCCCAGTGGTGCAAGTCCCGTCCTCAGATCTAAGGATGATTTATCGGCCACAGATCGACAGCGTTTCAAAAACCGAACCAATAATAATGTGCAAATCATTGACAAAATCATTCGTAAGTATAAAATAGTTTTTTTTGTTACTATTGCTATTACTTTAACTATTCCTTATGTTCCAAAGGAATACAAATTAATAAAAACAGAACTATTTCATAAAAACCGTAATTTTAAAATCACACACCTACTGGCTACTATGAGTATTATATAGGTAATATAAATTTTGTAAGGACTAGAAAAGAATTGTACGTGCTGTAAATATTGTAATGATGATCATTTTTAATTTATCAACAATCAGCGATTTATGATTTATATATCTAATTAACTAGCTGTTAATGAAATACAATCTATAAGGCATCATTTATTATAACTTATAAGTCTACAATGTGTAAATCAAAGTATTATTATTTATTATGGAGATGTAAATTAATATATAGGTAGGTATAGCCTATAATTTATTGCAGTCATTATATTATATATTATATGCTCAGATATAATTTGGGCTTACTAGAAAATAGTTTATTGTACCAATATATTATATAATGTGTACTTTGTGGATTAACGGGGATCTATATTTCAGTTGGGTCACTTGAACTGGCAATGATATTTGGTAGTATATTTGGTAAATGTAGACTAAATGTGATACGAGCAAAAGTTTAAATATTTTAAAATAAATCTAAAAAAAAAATATATTAAAATACACTCTTTCGTCCTCAGCACATCCTAGTTCAATTTAGGTATATAACATTTAATTTATTCAGTAAGGACAAGTCGTTTTAAAAGTTTTAATGAAATTTCGTTCGTTTAAGCTTATGAAGCGTAAATAAGTAGTAGACAAAACGGCATGTACTTCAAATGGCGAAAAATTACGAAATTGTCGAGTAGGTACACTTAATAAATAGGTTATAAAACACTTTTACCTTACCATACTAGACCGCTACAAATCGAGTCTTTTGTCCATAAAACTTTTACAATAAAAAGTATTTCACGGAATTATTAGTCTAACTATTTAAAGAATAACAATTTCTTTGCACGTGATTTAACTAATTACCGTTTGTACTCTTGCGTCCTTAGATAACCGTTCAGCACTGTATTATTCGTCTACACATTTAATATTTGTTATTCTAAAAGATTAGGTGAAGTTATTTGATATTACTTTCTTAATTTTCAGTTGTAAATTTGATATCAAAAAACTACCTTTTTATCATTGATTTATGTGTATAAACTAAACATCTATACATCTGTATAATATATATTATATAATCAAACATATGTCCTAACTGTCTAGTCCGTGTAGAGCCTAAACTTTAATGGCTAGGGAATTTACATTTTGACTGTACCTTCGTACCACAACCACGTAGTAGTGAAGTGGTGTCTAAGAAAGGATTTTCCTAAACTCACATTTTAATGAGAAATTTCTCACAAGGATTATATTCAGATTCACGAAGGAAATCGATGTATATTTTTTTTTGAATGGTTGCCACTAAAGTTACATACAATTTGGTATTCTGATTAAATATCATTTCAACATATATTTGATAATTTGATAATTTTATTATTTGTCATTTTATTCTTTATTCGCAATCGCTTGGATTAAATCGATGACCACATTTTGATTATTTCTGCTAACTATTTGATAACCGTTAGGAAAAAAAGTTTCTTATTACTCTTCACTGATTTAAAATTAAATATTTTCTTTTTTTCTAATTTTCTAATTCTTGAAGTTAAACTTCTTTACGCAGGGTAGTGAGGAAAAAATAGCGAACGGACGGCCGTACGAACGCGAACACGGACATGTCGTTGTGCGCAGCCGCGGATTGTCGTAGCTGTATTTTGTAAACACTAAACGGCTATGGGTTTTTGGTTGGGTTATTAAACAAAGAATACTCAACAATAATATTAATGAGATAAATATTTAGATAAAAACGGAATGATCGTTCGGGATAATTTATAATATTGACTACTAAATCAGGCACAACAATCGATGCAATTTTTACGCGATATATAGATAATGTTCAGTCGCAAATGTACGTTTCGTATTTCAGTCGTCGTATGCCAATCATAACTACTATACCGATTGAGCAAAATGATAATCAATCATTAGCATAAAAAAAAATAAAAAAAATAAAAAAAAAATATATAAAAAATATAATTTACATTGCTTCTTTTCTTTCTTTATTATCCTCATTACTCCAGTCTATCCATGCCTTTCTTTCTTTTTCACTCACTCACGTGCACGTTTGAGTCTAGAGACTTGAAATTTTATACAGAGGTTCCTTAAGCAATATAGGGGTGCACTAAGAAAAGATTTTTCAAAATTCGACCTCTAAGGGGGTAAAAAAGTTTTTTTATATAGTTATATAATACACGGGCAACGCCGTGACAAGACAGCTAGTATATTATATAATATTTTGTATATTTGTATTTTCTTTGAAAATATAACGTAAACTACCTACGATTATTATTGTGGGTTCACCATCGATGGTGGAATAATTATAGATTTTAACTACCATAATATATCTATTATACGGCTGTCAAGTTTAGATTAAGTTATAATAATGAATACTGACGTAAGATAAAGCATTTAAATAATGAAACTGGAAAAATGCTTCGGGAACATAATTTAGCTAATATCTATTCAAAAATCATGATAGTTATTATATAGTTTGAGCTACACTATAATTTTCAATTATATATTTTTATAACCTTGAAAATATGTAATTTTATACTCTTTTAAGAGTTTATATACTTTTTATTCGTATCTGTGATTTCGATCTGAGAAATTATTATTATCATTTTTTTTAGTTGCCAAGTGGTTAGTACTATAAAATATGGTGTATAAAAATATCATAAATTCATAACAACTAAATTCTGTGATAAATTAATAATTATAATGGAAACAATGAAACATATTATACTATGGTACAAACAATGTATTACTTATATGTGTATTACTTCAAATCGGATTCTAGCCTACGTAACTACATGAATTCATAGAAATAGGAAGACTATTTAGATTATTCTAACTATCTTGTTTTCATATTTTGTTAGAAGAATTTAAAATGTGATCAAAATTATAAATTTGATTTATTTTGGATTTCATAATGAGACTCACGATACGACTCAACATCGATATAGGCACAAGTAGTTTGTATAATATTTAATTCTAAGGTTTAGGTTGAGATTTATTTCATCTATAGTATATAAGTGTAGGTATGCCGTTTACTACTATATAAAATGGTTACAACACAACAATACATGTGTTTGTATGATATTTGGAAAGTTCATTTAAAATATGAACTAGAACATGCATAAGCATAAACATAAAATAAGCTCATGAATTCATTCATTTTCCATTAGTAAGTTAATTTGTATTAATATAATATTTTATGTGCAGCATTACTACATTAGCTAGGGCTTTAATTTACCTCAAGGATTGTATTAAAATATATCGTACCTATTTAGGTATGTATTGGTATGTACCGTACCTACTATCCTAGTAATTACGAACTCTACACTTTTAACGAAAATTTACACATTTAAAATCTCTAAGTTCATCGAACTTATGAATTCAATTCAAAATAAATTCGAATCAAGCAAAATAATATTAATTTATAGTTTATTTCCGATCGTATTTCGAAAACTTTGAACGAATTAACGAGTAAATTTCACGTACACCTAAATGGTGTATATTTTAATATTATTTTGGTTGCAGGAAGCTACTCCTGCGGTGCAAGTGCAGTTGCAGCAACCATTTTATCTGTATGATGAACGGACGCTTATACCATTTCCAAAGTCAGTTACCATCTTGCACGGTGGTTACCGCATGTCAATCCCGGTCGGCATGGTCGTAGCACCGGTTCCAGTGGATCTCCTCCGAGCTGGCCCAGTGTTCGTCACCACCCTATATGCCATACCCGCGGGCTCCGTGCCAGCGCCATCGCCAGTCAGGTGAGATTGATATTGATAATTTAGATTTTCATAGATCTGGATAGAACGAAATTCTAAATCTGGACGATTTGGATTTTCTCGATAGTTTTTTCGTAAATAATTACAAACTATAACTAAACTAGTATCTATCGATCGTCCAAACTCATGAACAGTACCTAATATTATTTTAAATACTACACAGTTAAAAATTCCTTATTGGCGGAACCTACTAAAATAGATGACGATACGACATTATATTATAAGTCATAATGCTTATAACAGATAATTTATTTCATACAAACGAGGTACTTACCTATAAAAAAAGCCAAATAGTGTCTAACAAACTAAAATCGATTTTAGAAAATCAAAACCTAAACTAAATGTAATTATTTTGTAATTCTCTTCTTGGCCTGAGTGTGTACAGTTAGAATATTTTTAAAATTTTTTGAGTACATGTCCATCAAGCTATGCTTACAACATCCATATTTAGATCGGTTTGTTTGCATACACTACAATATAGGTTCGTTCCGTGGTCGCCTTATCCTCCGAATCCAACTGCGCTTCAGCCGTACTCACCACCGTCTCAGTACTCGGCACCGCCGCCGTCCCAGTACACGGCACCCCCGCCGTCACAGTATCCGGCTTCATCATCTCAGTATTCGGCAGCACAATCGCCGCCCACGCAGTACTCGCAATCGGCACCACCGTCGCCCACTTACTACCAACACTCGGGGGGCACTGACGGCGGTTATGTCGAAGAGTCCAACGAACCACCTGGCAAACTCTACTCGCAGTTGGCGGCGGCTTCGTTCCAAAACTCCAAAGAATCGCCACTGCTGCACCAACTCAGGGAGGAGTCGGAAAAGAACCGCCACAAGTACTCGCCGCCTTCGTACAACAATCATTATCAAACGGTCGACGTTGCATAGACATTAGACGAGTCATCGCCACTAGACTTGGGGGGAGGGGGGCCAGTTTATGGGTGCATGCTTTCCATGAGACAGTCGTGCTATTTTTTATTGTATCATTAATATTATTATTAACTAACGAAAACTATTTTTCTATCCCATATACATTATATATAGATTAAACTTTTATAACGAAAGACTATTATTCTTATAATATAATTTTTATAATTTTTATTATATTGAAAAAAAAAATTTATATTAAAAATAATATAATCATGTCTATACATTTTATAACTATATATTATATCTATAAATATTAAATACACTTTGATGTAGTACCTACCCAAAAAAAATAAAGAAATAATAGTTTAGAACCGTTAACTTTGTTAGGTATTAATGTATATTATTACTATTATTATTATTATAATATTAATTATTAGCCATTTTAGTTACTATGCACTAAATAATAGGAACTACCTACTTACTACGTTTTCGAAATGCATTAGGTGTAGTAAGTATTATACATTTATACTTTCAACTTGTAAACCAGTCCTCATACAATACTTACATTTTATATTATTTTTACAATAACTATTGTACTTACATAATACATTAAGCTTAAAATCTCAATGAAATATGGCCATTATTAAGAACTTCCAGTTTGATATATGATGAATTTGACTTATACATAGTTGCGTCTCAACCAATAATATTATAACAATGTTTATAATTTATTTTATGTTCAGAATTAAATAATTATATTATAATTCTTCAAAACCATTTTATTTTAATTTATAAAAATTGTTTATTAGGTATGTACTTACAACAAATTAGGTAGTTTTGTTTGAAGAATGTGCTGGAAAAAAATGGATTATAATCATGATGTACCCTTATTAGTTATTAAGTATCCCCAATTCACCTCCTTCCAACCCCATCTGTCATTTTGGCTCCCCGTCTCTAACTCCCCCCACCAACATTGCGGCTTCCACGGTTGACTGAGACTTCCCACCAACGCCAAACCCCTGACGAATGAGCGGATCATTGCAGCTCATTCCAGGCTCCACGCGCTCATGCGCGCACTTTAAACTACTATCAACATACCTTATCAATTATTAATGCGAGTGCTGATAAGCACTGTCTTGTCCAAAAACTGTTCGACGGATATCCGATATTAAAATTTACAATATTATATTATTATAAATTGTATTCACTAATTATTATTTTAATTATTATCTTTAATGTACATCACATAACATATACATAAATGTAATGCTGATGTTGATTTGTATGTATTCTGTTGTAATTATTTAATTTTTTTTTATATAGGTGTATTATAGATTAACTTATAAGAATTCTCGTATTAAATATTTCAATTTTAAAATCTTTGGTATAAAAAGGAAATATTTTTTGAATTTTTAACTCAAAATAATTGCAAAATTGTCTTGGTATTTACAAAATTTTAAATCTATTTTTTTTAATTTTCTCGCAAACAACTTACGAGGAGCCACCTATTATAAATTATTTTCAAGTTTTTTGACGGAGCGAAAAATTTTTCATCGACATTAGTTTAAAAATTAATAAATAATAATCGAATGTTTCATATGCTTGTAAATATAGTTTGACACAAGTCGAAATATTTTGAACATTTTATTTTGTATAGAAAATGTGAATATTAACATTCAGTGAAAATTGCATGTATCTACGATGTCTTTTTGTTGAGTTACATCAAAAACTAAAATCGATTTGGTTGAAAATCAGTTTTCCATAAAAATGCCCATTTTCCCTTAATTTTTATTGGTGTGGATCCTGCTGCTTTAAAAAACTGTTGTGAATTTTTTACTTTTGACCCCCAAATTACCATTTAGATTCACTTTCTTTCCAGAAAAGATGCTGTTGCAGAAAATCGAAACACGTTTACTGTCACAAAAACAAACACAAATCATTGTAAAATTAATACATTCACCTCTCAGCTCAGAAAAAAAACTCTCCTCAAGATTTTTTGATGAGTAATTGAGTCTAGATGCTTGTATGATGTGTTTTATACCTACAGCTCATCTAATTCATTGTTGAAATATATTATTATATTTTACCTCATCATTTAACTACCTATTGACATTACATTCATTTTGCTATAGTTATTAGCTATAAATTTACTTGGACACATAAATGAAATTATAATTAATTTGTATGTAATATGTACCTATGTGTTGTAGATTTTTAGTTAAGTTGGTAAAAACGAACTATCCAACCAGTCAAAATGTATTATAAATCTATTAATTTTGTACACATTTTGCATTACTCAAATACCTACACAGTGTCGTTTAGCTTTATACACGCGTACCTACAATTTACTGCTTTATGCATTTAATGGTTGAGTCTAATTTAATAAGTTATGCGATAGATATCCAAAATGTATTTGTTATTGTATCGGTCATATATCATTGACCTAAACCTTTATTGGTCTAATATATAATAGTATGAAGGTACATTAAAATTAAATTATCTGACGAACATAATACTAATGCATAATGTATTTGTAATGTGGTAAGTCAGGTGTTGCTTTAACAACAGTTAGTTATGTTTTCTCTTGATTGGTATTTGTTAAAGTGTTATATTATGTATGCCGTAGGTGTATATAAAAAAAAACAATGAGTTAATTATAGTACATTAAGACTTTCAAAAAATTCTCCATGTGTGTAGATACATTAAGAACTGGCTATTATAGATTGGGTACTAATATTAATCCCATAGAGTATAATGACTGATGAGACTTTTTTTGAAATAAGAAATATGTACACTACCTATTTATACACACATCTTACCTCTGAAAGAATAGTGACACAACTCAAAAAATACGATTTTCGAGATATTACCATTAAAATTTGCAGAATTTTATCCTTTATATTTTAGTATGATTGACATTTTTGATGTATATAATATTAAAGACCGTATAAACTCAAATGTCTTTATTTACCTAACCTCACAGATGTAAGTTTATTCTGGCCTGGCTAATGTTTTAAGGCGGATACACACTGGAGCATTTTGGAGTAATGTAACGCCGTAATGTAACGCTGTAATGTAACGCCGTAATGTAACTGTAATGCTCAAGTGCGTACGGTGTTACTGTATCATTCGTGCGTGCTCGGCTTGCTTGCGACGCCGTCGATCCACCCGAGTGTCGGTATTTTGACGAACATCACAGGAATGGTACACACTGGAGCATTTTGGTGTAATGTATCGGAGGGAAAAAATGAAAATAAAAACTAGTCAAGGAACTGGCACAGGTAATTATAATTTTAACCATTAAAAATATCGTTATTGTCGTTCATCTTGATTATTCAATATGTAATTTCGTTCGCTTAAGAAAGTAAGGCAGCTAAAAAAAAACTGTGATTGTATATTTTTAAATTTGTTGGTTTTATAACGATACACAATAACTTACTTACGTGGAATCTTGTCTTAAATGTTCAACTAAATAATTATTTGTAAATTTTGAATGATATAAATGTTGTCAAAATTTGAACTTTAAATGCTTATAAAAAAATAATTATGCTTATGTATTTTTAATATTTTTCAACTGCTATTGAAAGATTATTACTCAAATTTGTACAAATTTTAAATTTAAATTTTATACAAATTCATATCTCAAAAGTTTCACATGAGAATGATTATTTTAATTTTATTAATATAATATTATTATAATATTAGATACCAAATACCTATTGGCCAGGGGCGTGCCGAGGTGGTGGTTTTGGGGGTTCAAACCACCCCCAAATTGACTGGATTATTTTTTTCAACTTCGTGATATTTACAAAATAAAAAATAACATTATTAACATAATATTATGGGGAAATCCGATACTATAATAATTAATATAAAAATAATACAATATTTGACGATCTTTAGTTTTTATTCCCTTTAGTAC